CTGCCGAATTACATGTATAAAAATAAATTGTTATCTCTAGACCAGTCTTCCCCAAAGTGGGCGATAACGCCCCCTTGTGAACGCTGCAGATAAAAGTTAGAATTAATAATTAATAGAATTAATATTAATATACATATATAGGTCACAATTAATTAATTTAATTTGAAGTTATAGTGGTTTTTCAATATGTGAAAATATGGGGGCGCTAAAAAAATATTTATTCTCAAAGTGGGGAGTAGACAAAATAAGTTTGGGAACCACTGCTCTAGATATCAAGAACAACAAAGTTGTTGACAATATGTTTTTATACAGGTTTTAAGCAACGGTTAATGGTTTTTTTATAATGGATCAATTAAACAACATAACAATGCCACAAAGATTTTTAAATAACAATAGGATAATTAAAATGAAAGCTTAATATAAAAACTGGTTTATGTAATTAGATATTTACCTAATTCGCAATTACTTAAATTTCTCTTAACCAAAAAGGTTGAGTATAATTTGTACAGTTGATCAGTAATGTCATAATTGGCAGCACTAATTAGTACAATAGTGTTGTGCCAGTAACTAGCGGTGTCGTCGTGTGGTACCGATCGCTGCGGACCCGTTGTCACGAACTGCAATTGGTACGACAATGACAAATTGTCTGTATTCTGTACCGAAACGCTTAGACCAGTTAATAAATGGTGTTGCACGACGAACAGATCGAAACTAACGTATTACAGCGTTGGCGTAATATTATATCTATGTTTAAGATTTTACATAAGAAATAATTATTTACTAATTCTGATTAATTTATACACTCTCTAAATATAAGATACACGTATATAGTTTACCTTTTCTTCGATTTTATTTAAATGTAATAGCAAAGAAAGAAGTTCGCAATAAATAAAAATTACCACTACAGGTTTCAAGGCGAAATGCGAAACATTCAAATGACAAAATTGAAACGAATTTAATAAAAGCAAAAGTGCAAGTGATCAAAATAAAATAATCTGTTTTTATTGAGAACAATAATAACACATTTAATAACGTTTCGCGCAATTACTTTCCCGTCTTTTCAAGTATTTTAAAATAGGGTTTTGCTGGAATATATAGAAGGTGTTGCGTACTTTTGCGATAGACAATTTTCGGTGTTGTGTTGGGGAAGTCGCCAATGTTGGTGTGTTGAGTGCGCAGTGGGGTCAGTGTCGGGTGACACGTGTGCAGGCGGGGGCGGGGGCGGGGGAGGTGTTGTCGGGATAGGGGCGCCGGCGACGGGACGTGGCCAATGCGGCGGCGGCGTGTGCGCGATGTCGCCGCCGCGGGCGCTGCTGGCGGCGCTGTTGGTGTGTCAGCTGCTCTCCTACGGTGGCCACCAAGGACTCACCAAGATATTTTACATGTAAGCTCTTGTGTAAGACTTTTTAGCATCTGATATGAGATGAATAACATTCTAGAAATGTCGGTTAAAGAGTACGATGTAACAAGTGTCACATCACTTTGCATGCTTGGTCACAATGTACAATTGAACTGTCTCGTCCGCAAAAGGTTCGTGGTATAAAGCAAACGTCATAGGAATTACGATCAAGATTTCTTTGAAACCATTTGTATCCACGCGGTGTCTTGTTATAATCTTACTGCTAAAACTATGCGTAGTACAAGTGTGTACACAACAATTACTATGAGGTCTAATCTGTCGGACATTTCTCCTTAGATCTGTAGCATTAAGTTAGTTATATATAATTACTCTAAACTCTGGGTATACGAGTAAGTAGGAAGGGAATGTCGAGATCAAATGACCCGCATTAATGATCCTCTTCCCTCATAACTTAAATAACAAATTGAATATTACGGATACTCTGGAGTTTTCAATAGAACAATAGGTATTATTAACAAAATTTCCGACATTTAGGAACGCATAGTAGAAAACATACAAAATTTGTTTTTGTTTAGATTGACATAACGGTGTTATCACAAAGCTATAACACTTTATTTACTATAGTAGCTTTCCAAGAACATTTTCATTGCAATGGAATTTACATTGGATGCTTTAGGTACGTAGGCGGGCGTGGATTACGACGTAACGGTACGCGAGATATGGCAGGACTGAGGGGGAATGCGCGGGGTGTCCGTGCTAACAAACATCGCGCGCGAAATTGTTTCCCGCGCAAACACTTCCTAACCTCAGATGAAGGAATGTACCTTGATATTTTCCGTTATTATGTAGACTGTCTCGAATACGAAATTATCTCCTGATTGTGCTTTTATTTTATTTATTAGTACTACAAGTTATAGCTACTACTATAGTATAGTTACTATGTTTGTAGTAGTCAGATTTTCTATTAATCATCAGGAGACATCGTGATCGAGTACTGAATCCGGATTGTGAAAAAGATAATAGTCTATAAATAATTTCCGACCCAACGGAAAATACTTCGGCATTATTTGTGACCGTTTAAAAAAAGAGATATTTATTGATAAAAAAATACCTATAATAGGTATGCATGATTGAGCAAGGAAGGAAAGACAATTTTGTGGCCTGATCAGGGAAGGAAATGGTTGTTAGTCTCAAATTATGAATTTTGGATATCGTACTAATTTTTAGTGAAACCAAAACATTTGAAAGTATTCCGTTTTGCCGTTTCCTTTAATATGACAGTATGAAGAATATACTTGGTTTTTGTTTATTCTGTTATATTTATATAACAGAATAAAATAACTTAGGGTAGGCTCCGAGATCCTTGGGGGGACATATAGTGAGCTGATGATGATAAATATGATCATAAATAATTGACTCTAGTTTTAACATTTCTTTTTTCTAGTACTTGTATCACATACTGGCAAGTTAATCCAAATGTTTTAAACCTTCTCATTTGAAGACTGGCTCCGATCAACTGTGCTTGACCACTATAACATCAAAGTCTTAAATTAAATATTTAATCTCTATTGTACTGTCAACAAGCTGATAATATTTTATCACTAGATGGCTTTGAATAGGTGACATTCCGTCTCCAGTTATATACAATGTTGAAATGCAACTGTGTATCAAAATGAAAACAACAGCTTGAAACATTAACGAGCTGCTAAATTGTGAAACTTGTAACGCTGTTGTAATGTTTTGTTGCTTTTGTTCTATGTCTTAACCGTGTTGTTTCGCTGTTAATGTTGCATATAATTTAACGATTAATACTTAGGGAACGTACTCATACCACGTGACCCGTTTAGGGCGCGGGGGGGGGGGG